TATATATATATACCATTATAATCAACGATAAACAAATGATAATCTGTTTATAGAATTACATTGTTAATGTTTGAAAAATATTTCTTTTTAAATGTAGACTTAAATTTGTATTAAAATAAAATTCGATTAAAACTTAAATTGATTAATGAAATTTATAACAAATTCCATGTATAAAAAAAAAATTGTCAAAATATTTATGTCTTACCGAGATGGATGATGTTCTTCTCGTGCATATGCTTGACGCCCTCACAGATCTGCCTCATATAATTAATGACTTCCGCCTCGGACATAGTATAACCCTCAGCCGTAATTCTTTCGAATAGTTCTCCGCCGGACAAGCTAATGAAACAAATAATCGAGATCAAGAATAACGCAAACCCGTCATAACCCGCCGTCGGATTTAATAGCAAACGATTCTTTTGTCCAAAGTGAATACTTACAATTCGAAAATCAGTACCATTTCATCATCATCTTCAAAGGCGTCGTGCAGGTTGATCAGCTTGGGATGATGCAGTTGATTCATGATGTCGATCTCCTTTCTGATTAGCTCCTTTTCCATCACATGCGATACCGGGATAAATTTAGCAGCGAAGATATTACCAGTGGTCCTCTCGCGGCAGCGGTGTACTACGCCGAACGCGCCAGTACCGATCTCCTCCAGAATGTCATATTTGTCGTAAACTGATGTGTGCTTGATTTCAACTGGCTGCGGCACGTATTTACTATACACGTCGAACACGAACTGGTCATAGTCGCGCGGCTTCTCATCTTCGCGGCCACGTATTTTCTTGCCGCTCGCGTCTACCTCATATTCTTTCTTCTTGAACTCGCGTTTGATCACGCCCTTCGTAGTGATCAACGGCGTCACTTCACTCGGATCCGAACGACCGTAGATGTTCTCTGCACACACCCGGAAATCATATTGCTTTCCGGGGCTAAGACCGGTTACAGCAAGCGTGCAGAAACGAGTGTTGCCAGCACGGATCCAGCTGCTCATCGGATGCTCACGCTTCTCCACCACATAGTTGGTGATGTTACTGCCGCCGTCCCAAACTGGCGGTTTCCAGCTGACAGCTAGCGAGTCATGACCGACATTATCCACTTGCGGGAATCTAGGCGGATCTGGACGATCGCTGATCTGAATCTTGATGATGGCTGTATCCTGACCGAGATCATTTTCGGCGGAGATGCGATATGGACCGGAGTCCATACGACTGCCATCACGTATCGTCAACACAGCGTGCCGCTCTTTCACCTCGACAGCGTAATGTCCACCAGACTCGATCACCTCACCTTCGCGTACCCACGTAATCTTTGGTTTCGGATAACCGGTAAATGGAATCTTGATGACAACGTTCACACCTTTGTCGAAGAAGGCAGTATCACGGAAACGTGGCGGCACATTTAGCTTCGGCGGTGTCTTGATAAAGAGTTCACCCTTCGTGGATTTCACGCCGCATTTATTTGCCGCACGGCAGAAATACTCATCGGCGTCCTCGCCGAACACATCGTGGATGATGAGATTGTGGGTATCGCCCTCGGAATAGATGTTATAGCGACTACCGCTTACAATCTCGCGGGCGCCCTTGAACCAAGTGATGTTTGGCTTCGGTGTGCCGATAATCTTGCATTGGAAGTGGGCATTGTGATTCTGGACGCAATTCACCTGATGAAAAGAAAATGAGAAAAAGATAATTACATCTTTTGGGTCAAATCGCATTCCTGCATTATTTAGAATTTTAGTTACTTATAATAATTACTTATTATCAAGGTGCAAATTGAAGAAATACTAACCTTCTGAAGAGGTTGAATGATTTCCGGAGGCTTCGCCGCTTGTGGATCAACAATCTTCACAGAGGTCGAAGCTTTCGATTCAGGACTAAGTCCTGCAACATTTTGAGCAAATACCCGGAACTCGTATTGCCTTCCTTCAATCAAATTGCTAATATTGATCTGCGTTGGTAGGCAGATACTGACGTTTACACGCTGCCATGCCTGACTGCCAACTTCTCTTTTATCGATCCAGTAACCCTGGATTTTGGCACCGCCGTCCGTTTCTGGTTTCTCCCATGAAAGATTGACAAAGTCTCCACCCACTTCAATGACTTTAGGCGTACCGGGTGGTCCAGGTGGATCAAACGGTGCCTTGGCCTTGATCGGGTTAGTACCCTCCAACGGCGGGCCCATGCCGTTGTCGTTGGCGGCCATCACTCGGAAAAGATACTCCTGACCCTCGGTAAGTCCTTGCACGACGAAAGTACAGTCTTTACAGAAGGATGACACGATGATCCAATGCGTGTGGCTGACATCGCGACGCTCCACCACATAGTGGGTGACTCGTAGACCACCATCATATTTGGGTGGATGCCAGGACAAGGTGCATGTATGCTTATCGATATCAGAAACATCAAGCGGTCCAGTTGGCGGTCCGGGCAATCCAGTAATGTATACGTTAAAGGACGCGCTGACGCTGCCACTGTCGTTCGAAATGGACAAATCATAAATGCCTGCATCGTCTTTTTGGATATCTTTGATGAAGATAATAAGGTACTCGTCGAACACAGTGTATTTGATGTGCGTTGTCTCCACGATTTGGCGACCATCTTTCTTCAGAGTCACTTCCATCGGTTGATCGCCACTGTAGTAAATCTTAATCTTCGTGTTGTCGCCTTCCGGTAGATAGAGATCGTTCGGCATGCGCTCGATGCGTGGCGGCGTGCCGATCTTTAGCCTGCACGTGGTCACGGCGATGCCGAGCGGATTCGATATTTGGCAGCTATAATCGCCGTCGTCTGCGTCCCATACTTCGGATATCACCAATCTATAAATGCCGTTTATTGCTTCGGCGCGGAAGCGACCTCCTAAAGTGATCTCACGACCGTTCTTCAGCCACCTGAACATGTTACAGGTTCAAATTATAATAATATTAGATCAAAATTAACAAAGAATTAAAAGATACATTTTAATTGTTATGATATTTAGAACTAATTTCATTTTAATTTGTATAATAAATCTTATTTTTGCTAACCTGGCAGTTGGCAGTGGTTTACCCGTGGCCTCGCATTCGAGAACAAGAGTCTTGCCAAGTGGTATAATCTGACTGATTGGCAGATTTCTTATAAATTCCGGTTTCTCGCCACCCTCGACCTCGCAGATTTTCACTGGGGTAGTGCATGAGCTTGGCTCGGATCTGCCAGCCGCGTTCACCGCAAAGATCCTGAATTCGTAGTCACCCCGCTCAATTAAGTGCATGACCGTGTACTCGGTATCGACGACATTATACTCGTTACACTTGGACCACATCGCACTGCCCACCTCGCGCTTCTCGATCACGTAGCCAGTGATCCTGCTACCGCCGTCAGACACGGGCGGTTCCCATCGCAAATCAACGTAATTCTTGCCGACCTTGATGACTTGTGGTGTGCCAGGTGGCGATGGTACATTGAACTTGCTCTTGAGTTTAAACGGCGCGGACGGTGGGCTTGGCTTACTGAAACCGGCCGCGTTCTTTGCGCGGATTCTAAATTCGTACTCATGACCGCTCATCAGACCATAGCACACGTATGTGGTATCCTTGAAAAGGTAGTCGTTTGCCACGCGCCATTGCACATCCTCAGCAGGGTCGCGGAACTCGATCTTATAGCCCTGTAATTGATATATTACATTAATATAATATTACATTAATACATAATACATAGAATACATAATATTAGAATAATTAATACATAATAATACATAATAGAATTAGATGCTAATACAGTTTTCGGATTGATGTATGACATCTTAAGATTTTACTTAAGACAGTCTTAAATGCAAGAATCGATTATGAATACCGATCTGTGTCGTTGTGAAATTGGTACTAAATCTTCCCTTATTCATCTCTAAATCATTAAAAATTGCAAAATTATACTATCTAACTGTGCAAAATATATCTTCGATTTATGCACTACTATAGCCAAGCAATTTCTATTTTTGCGTTGCAATCTTTAATGGACTTCCCTCTTAGAGCAAACAGATCTAATCATCCCTAAGACAATTAAAATTACAAAATTGCACTCTATAACTATGCAAAATATATCTCCTATTTATACGCTAATATTTCTAACAATTCCAATTTTTACTTTGCAATCCTTAATGCATTTTCCTCTTGGAACAAACAGTCATGTTTTTTTCTAAGTTTAAAATTGCAAAATTGTGTTCTCTACTATGCAAAATATATTTTCAATTTATGCGCTACCATTTCTAAGCAATTTCAAGTTTTATGCTGTAACTCTTAAGCGACTTCCCACGTCTGCCTAGTCGCCTCCCACCCCACTTAACCAAATTTTTATAAATATATTATATAATATTGCGTTATTTATGAGCTCTCAAAATTTGAAAAAAAAATTTTTACGCTCATTTTGTTTATCTAAAAAAATTTTTTGTGGGAGGCTGAGTAGGCTGTCAGACAGCTCTCCCCTTCCTTCCATGTATTAATAACAACCAATTTGAAAAATAAAATACACAAAATTTATGCCCTATATATGTGCTTTCATATTCACATACTTCCAATTTTTGCGCTGCATCCCATTTTGAATTTTCAAATTTTGAATTCGCATTCAGAATCAAAGACTAAAAATCGAACGCTACATTTTGCCGAAACCGAGCGCCAAAATTTAGCATTTCTGTCCGTCATATTGATTCAATCATTTTAAATTTCCAAATTTGAGTTCCTATTTTCAAAGAGTAACACCAAAAATCGTTTGTTTTTTGGACCCTCGATTTGGAAACTGAAGAGAACTGAGTGCTAAATTTTATCTTATATTAATTAATTACAAACATTAATTACAGAGAAATTTGAAGTTGAGGTGACAATTACTATCAGAGTTGGGACTGTAAAAGAAAATGGATTTTCGCATAAACATAATACGTAACATCTCCCGCCCTCTCCATATGGATGGCTATGATAACAATTGTCACTTCAATCTAAAACTTCTTTATAATTAATATCTCATTGTAGAATATTATTTATTGATACACTAGTCAGTCCAAAAATTGAGGACCCAAAAAACGGGCGAAAATAACTTCTTTTTTGAGGCCACTCTTTTAAGTTAAAAAAATTTGGCATCAGCATCCCCGAAAACTCTTTAATGCTAAATTTCAACGGATACGAAGTACTCTAATGAAAAAAGGCTTCAAACAACGTAATATTAACGGCAATTTTAAGATAGGATTTTATAATAATATTCACATCTCATAGGTATAAATTTTACACACCTGGATACGAGAACCACCATCGGACAATGGTCTTGTCCAGACCACCGTGGCATTCGAAGTATCCCAGTCGATGATTCGTGGCTGTCCAGGTGGATCTGGCACCGTGAATGGGAATTTAGCTGTTATCGGTTCATCAGCTTGCAACGGATCGGATATTCCGTACTGATTCTCTGCTCTTACGCGGAAGTTGTACGTGCGATTCGGCTCCAGACCGATCACATCGTAATGCGTGCTTCTCACAAAGCTGCTAAGCTTCACCCAGAACTGGAAGAAATTTGAAAGAGCAATAAAGATATCGATATCTGATGTCATAAGAAAAAAATAATATTATCTTCTTTATGATCATTATTTTGAATTTCTTAAACACAACTTACGCCGGCCGGATCCAATTTCTCGACTATGTAATTCGTGATTGGCGAACCGCCATCATCGAAGGGTGGTTTCCATGTCAAAGTACAGGTTTCCGGAGTGATATCGGAGATATCCAAAGGCGCTAAAGGTGGCGACGGTTTGTCTAAAAAGGAAATAATTTTATAGTATAATCTGCATATGCTTGTAAAAATACTTAGTTCGAAAAAAATTTTCAAAGTTATTCTGCTACTTTCTAAATACGATCTAGAATTTAAATCCAGAATATAACTTAAGAAATGAGATGATGCGTAGTAGGATATTTACCGACAACTAGGACCTTGCATGAGGCGGAATCCGTGCCGACAGTGTTTGTGAGATATATCGTGTACGTGCCGGTATCCGATCTCTTTGCTTTTTTGTTAATAAACTGCGAGGCTACGTCGGTTGTCTCGAACTTGATCCTTTCACCAGTGAGAACCTCTTCGCCATTAATAGACCAATTCGGTCTTGGTTTGGGATTTGCCGTATATGGCACCGTAATGGTGAATGGTTCTCCGGCAATCACAGTCATATCGCGGATGCTAAGGTCGCTCGTGATCTTTGGTGGGACTGTAACAAAAATATTGAATATGTTGAACATTTGAATCAGCTTATGAAGAATCACGATAAATGACGATAAAAGTTAAATTAAATATATATAATAATTTTATTTATTTTAATTACAAAATATATATTTTTTATTTGTAGGATAAAGTATTTTTAAGTAAGATATATTTACATGGTGCAGCGCTGGCGCGAATAACGTCGGAGTTGGAGCTCCATGGTCCGCGACCGGCAGCATTTTCCGCAGCTACCCGAAACTCATAATCATGATTCTCAATCAATCCAGTAACCCTAAGAGACCAATGAAGAGAATTGTTAAAACTTCTTGTTAAGATTATAGATGTTTTTCAAGAACATATAGTAGCACAGGTTACTCACTTGTAAGTGGTGTCATGTACCAGAGCCGGTGTGGCCTTGACCCACTTATCTTCGTTCAGAAGACGCTTCTCGATGACATATCCGAGGATCGGTGAACCACCGTCGTGACGAGGTTTGGTCCAGGTAATGGTGATGCTATCCTCGGTAGTCTCCACACCGCGAGGTGTGCCAGGTGCACCCGGAGGATCGAACGGATGTCGCGCCTTAATGGGATCGATTGTCGTCGCTGGATCCGACGTACCATATTGATTCTCCGCCATCACCCGGAACTCGTAAACTTGACCGACCGTCAAATTTCTGACTCGCACAAACGGTGTCGTAACATAGCTGCTTACCTGTAAGTTTTTTTTTTTTAGAATTTTTGGAAAACTAGAACCATTCTCTCTATTTTATAGAATTTGATATAAAATTATTTTCAAATTAATTTTTCTCTATGGCAGTTTTCTTAATTAATCCTTCCTCTTGTTCTTTTTATCCAAATATCATAATAACAATTTTGATATATTTCTTACCTTAGACCATGTGGCGGCCTTTGGTTCCTTCTTTTCGATCACGTAATTAGTGACGTCAGCACCGCCATTGTCCTTGGGCGGATTCCAGAAGAGAGTAAGAGCGTCGCCACCGAATTCATCCGCGCGAAGATTTTCGGGTGGACTAGGACGATCGAGGACCTTGACGTTAACGGTTGCTGTATCAAATCCAGATGAGTTGCGTAACTGGAGTCTATACTGCCCTCCATCTGAACGTTTTGCATTCTTCACTACCAAACTGCAGCAAAAAATCAATTAGTATAATATAACATGTAACATCATTATTATCTTCGTTAATCACCGAAATAAAAAAAAATTCTAGATTTAGACATTTCATATATGATGAGAAATGTCTTCCAAATTAATAAATTATTAAATAGTTTCTATCATATTATTTAGATCTTATTTTAATTCTCGTTTTCTTAAAAGAAAACACATACCTGGCGAAATCATCAGCCAGCTGTTGATGCACACGTGGATCGGTTTCATCCTTAACGACGTCATTGGCAAACCACGTGGCGGTCGGTTTGGGGAAGCCAATGTAAGGCACGTGAATAGAAAAGTCCTCGCCGGCGCGAACGGTAATGTCACGGACTCCACCAAGGTCCATAACTGGTTTGTTAGGTTGTTCTTCGATGACAATTGGATTACTGGGTCGGCTCGGGTCGCTGCTGCCGACATCATTCACTGCAAACACTCTGAAGAGATACTCCTCGCCCTCTTTCAAATTTGGCACAGTATATACGTTGCTCGGTATGGGCGCACCGTTTACATCTGACCAATCGTCATCACCCTTGGCCTTCTTTTGGAGGATGTATCCTCGAATCTTTGAACCACCGTCGCTTCGCGGTGATCGCCAGCTCAGGGTCACTGAATCCTTGGTGATCCTGTCTGCCTTGGGTGGTTCAGGTGCATCAGGACGTACTACAATGATAATGTAACTAAATATCACAAAAAAGATGCATATAATAATTAAAACTAATAATCAATATTTATAATTATAAAAATAAAATTCCGAATTGGAACTAATATTAACAGTTAGATTTAAATCAAGATTAAAATTAAAATAAATGCTAGTGATAAGATAAAGCATTCAACTTATAACGTTTTAAAATAAAATTAATTCTTTGCATTCAGATCGGGTTTATTATAATATATTATTATGATTTGTTGAAGTATACGGCGTTACTGAAGCTTACAGCGTTGATGTCCGGCTATGATTGGTTCAGTGGGTTTGCTGGGTTTTCCAGGTCCAGCCTCATTAACAGCACTCACTCTAAACTCATATCGCGAACCTTCGTGAAGATCCTGCACGGTAAATGTCGTGTTCGGTGTCGGGTAATTGTTGACCTTCAACCATTCGCCGCCGCGCTCACGCTTTTCCACATAATAACCTAAAGAAGATAATATAAATAGCGTGAGCCAAATGTAAATTTCTACATAGTATTTGCATCAAAAAAATTAAAATTAAACTTTCTATT